ACGATGATGACGACGGGGATAGCTTGGTAGACAAAGGGGAACTCGAGTTCGAACTGAGCAGGAGTGGAGCTTGGAATGGTGGGCCGTGGTTGATGCATTTAATGGGCGGACACTGCAGCGCGGGGTTATATCGATCTTCCTCGATAGTAGGATGAGAGGCGTGGAGATGATGATTTCCATACATATATTCGAAAGGGACGGGTGTTTTCGTCAATATATCGTAATCCTCCGGATAGAAACTTTTCAGCAATTTGGCGGCATGAAATGAATCGCTGAAGATCGACGATCCGCCTTGGACTCTGTTACGAATGCAATGGAGAATCTGATATCGAGGAGGGTGTTCAAAATAGAGCAAGTCCATGTGTAAGCCAAGCTTGAGGTTGGTATATGCAATGTTCTCGGAGTTTTTGTTCTGCACATTGAATATACGACCATAGAAGGTTTCTCGAATTTCGCTAGAAAATCTCAGTGCCAAATCAGATAATGGACGATCGACGGGTTTGGCATCAGTTGGAACACTTTTCTGGTAGCAGAGAAGTTTGTTAGCAGCGGTTTTGTCTCTTTGATCAGCCTTGATACGTACCACGAAGAGCAATCCATACCGACACAATTGGTCAATAGCCCTGAGTAGCCCTGCTGGTGTCTGGATTTCGTCATGATGTAGAAATAAATCCCTGCTGTTCTGTAAATCTTCTCTATCCCACGTCTCGGCCTCAACGTCTTTGCGGAAGCTGGCAAGAGACTCCTTCGTGGAATGTCGTTTCAAGAACGATTCGCGGAAGAAGGAGATATGTCCGTCTGGCCACTCTATATGAATGCCTTTCTCTTCTTCTGAATCTCCATTCTCGACGATCTTCACCGCCTTCGGTCGGATATCAACATCGAAATCAGTGGACGAGTGTAATTTCTGTGTCGTTTCTGGATGTTTGCTTTGCGGTGAAGTACACGAGTCTCGAAGCCAGATGTAGGGGAAAGTGGTATTGCCAAGACTTGGGATAGTGATGGAGTCGTCGTTCAGGATTGCGGTGGTCAAGTAGCGGTAGGAAGAGCAAGACGTGGATAACAAAGTAGCTTTTCTGTCGATGATCCGTCTGTTCAACGAGTTAATCATTCTACCAGAGGACATAGGGCGAAAGAAAGAGGAAGACATGTTGTGGTAGTAGTTCTTACCAACCTAAGGCCACTTATATACCTGGTTTGACCAATTGAAAACACATAATTACAATGTGTTTCTCCCACATATGTTGTGAGCTTTAGGAGAGGAACTGAAAAGTTATTCTGGGCCGTGGCTATCAACGGGAAATAAACGCCAAGATAAGATAAAAAGATAAGCGCCGGTCAGCACGTGGGTTAAACTTTCTACAAACTTTAGTCTGCGTCCCTCAACTTGACGTCCAACTATTCACACCTTGAGCTCAGCTTCCCTTCCACACCTTCGCTCGTATATCCTCATGAGCCAGTCGGAGTCGAATCAAAGCTTTGCCCACTGGAAAACCAAAGGAAAAAGCTGGAAATCTGGCGCCAATCAAAGTTCTTCTGGATACGCAACCAACAATAATAATCTTAGTTCATCGAGCCAGAACAACACCCGGAATCCCTCACGAACAACATGGACTCCATACTCTAATTCTGGCAACAGAGCACCAGAGGGTGGATATAACGATAGCGTTAATAGAACATGGCCAGTGAATGGACGGATAAGTGAAGGCACGGTTGTGTGTGATCTCCTTGTCTGTCTTTCCAAAATCTTGATCACATTAATATAGGCGGACTCTCACAAGTACAAAGATATGGAACGCGTATCCCAGAGCGGAATGTATCAAGATGCAAACTTCCAACAAGGGCTAAACCCCTACGCCAGTATTCGACAACTCAGAGAGCCCAATACCAATCCAGTTATTCAAGGACGCGGAGGTAGGATGAACCATCTCGTGAGCGATGCCTTTGGGTTTTTCAATATAGGGAAGCGTTCTAAATGTATGCATATAGCCTAATAAACCCCGTCTGCGACCTACGGAGTCCATCTCAAATCGCAACAGTCTTATCGCGAGTGGAAGCCAAAGCAATCAGGCATCCACGAATCTCGGCACCAGCAATCAAACCAGAGATAACCCCAAGGTGAGCAAAACTCACGATTAATCTCCTATCTGGTAGCATACAAACGTATTCTGCATCAGACCTTCCAGCGGCCTCTCGGACACAATCACTACGCGAAACAGAAACAGGTCACATATAACCGGAATGTTCTTCCACATGCTGAGGATTTACAGCCAAATGAGGGTTTCACTGGTGTGAAGACTACGATAACACCTGGTGTGCCGAAAGTGCTGTCGACGACGACGAGTTCAACTGCAGTGAGCTTCAGGGGGACTGGAGGACGAGGCCTTCGCGGTGGGAGACTCAGACCTGGTGCTTGGGCAGGGAGAGGAAACTGGAAAGGAAGAGATCGAGGATTCGCAGGCCATAATTCATCAGTAACCTCAACACAACCACATGCTCAATCTTCAGCATCTAGTTCAAGCCTTTCGCCGTTTGGTCCCCCTCAGGATAAACAGTCCACACCCCATCGTCTACCTTCCGCTGCGTTAAATAAAGCTCTCAACAATCAGAAGATCATCCCGCAAAAGCGTAGAAAACCACCGAGCCCAGATCCCGCTGTATCTTTATCTCTATCTTCGTCTTCGTCAATGAGTATCTCGCCATTGTCCAGTGAGAACAGTGGAACGCGAAACTCTGAGAAGACAAATTATAGACACCTTCCCGCGGGGCCTTGGAAGACCAAACGGCGAAAGGCGGAGACAACAGATAATCGAGAGCGACAAGTTTCGGAGATTATACCGGACGAATCACCGAGTCTAGCACCAGAAATCATGGAACCAAATGATCGTGTCGTTGAGGAGGGCTCAGTCGATGAGTTACTTGACGGCACGAACTATGATCAGAGGCAACGCGACACCTTTTTTGACACCAAAGTCAAACTCGAGTCGAGTGATATCGATGCTGAACTCGTATACCCATCTTCCTCCCCTAACCGTCGTTCCCCCTCGGGTATATCATCCATAACCTATCCCAACGATGCGAACAAGAATGCTTCTGTCACACCAGCTACCTCGACCTTATCTGTCAAAGATGAGCCGTTTGACCTCGAACTTCCTGATTTCGCACCAGCTCAAGATCGACCCTCTGGTACCGAACGATATCATCCAATTCCTCCCTCTTGCCGCAAATTTCACGAAAATGGAACCTCCGCCTCTACATCCTCATCTTCATTAGCAAGCTCTCGGTTAGTAGCAAACCCACACTACAACACTGCACGCTCCGAGTATACGCAACGCGCGTGTGCCGAGCTTCGAGCGAAGGGGTTGATACCTCAAAGGGTTCTGTGGAGAGACGATGGGCTTTGTATAGATTGGGTTAGGAGTGTTCTCCGTGACGACAAAGGGACTGCAGGCGGTAGAGTGCTCGAAGCCAAGGGCAGGAAAAAGGCAACGCATTCACAGACGAGACTAGGAAAGGAAGCTCACAAGAGGACCATATTCGATGACCTGATATCGATGACGGACGATGGTTCGCAGGTCAAGTCTGAGCCTCAGCCAGAGATATCAACTTTCCAATCACCCTCTGAACCTAAACCCCTCGCTTTGCCTCTAGAGTTGGACATCATCGACCTCACCGTCGACGAGATTGACGATACGTCAACGTCCGATCTTGCTGATATTTCCGATACCTTGCAAGCTGATCAATCAACTTCGAGTATCAAACCCAGCAAAGGAGATGTTGTTCGAGGTGTGAATGGATATCCTCTCCACCAAGCTTTCCCAGTGAATAAAGGCAAGTCGCCTGCAGATCCCCATGCAGACATCATAGAATTCGATGGCGATGCGGTATGGAGCAGTTTCATCGATGTAGATGATGCAGGTGATACGGAAGAAGAGATACAGGTTCAAGATGAGCTTGTTCTCAACCATGAGCTCAGTAATACAGACATGGAAGGTAGACTTACATCTCAAGAACACATGTCGAAGAAGCGTTCGTTCGAATCCGTCAATTTCACAGACCATCCCGAACTCAAAAGAAGTAGTCAACGACGTCCTCCCGCTTTGGAAGCAGAGCAAATACTTGAAGCACGCACATTAGACCTCGGATCTTTCAGTGTTATCGGACCTTCTTCCACGGAACGATCGGCAGTAAACTTGGCTGAGAAAGCTAGGATGGAAGGATTGGCAATCGCCTTTCTTCGACGGTATTTGGCTTCTCTCTTTGACTTGAATGTCCCCTAACTCTCTATCGCTCTTGCAGATACATCAATTCTTGGGAATATGACCGGGCGAGTCTCGCTCACGCTTATGCTCCCAACGCAATATTTTCCTGTTCTGTCATTCTCCCCAAAGCATCATCTGGCAAATTCATTAACGAAAGTCCAACACATATTTTCGCATCACACTTTGCTAGTTCAATGTCTGCCATGAATCGCGACTCCTCCACTTCTTCTAACCTAAATCGAGGTCCGCCTGTCCCCATACAAACACCTACAGTCATCATGCCTGCCCTGTTGCTGCTCGATCCGCAACGTGCATATACTTTCTTTCCCTCTGAAGGTCAAGCGGAGGTAGTATATGATGTATTATATCTGGGTGAAGTTGGAGACTCCTCTAGAGAGACAGTACAAAGTGGAAGTAGTTCTGCTTTGGTATATCTCGGCGTGCAAGCAGAACTGAAACACAAGACGCCTGAAGTCACTGACGATATCTTGGACGTGCTGATGTTTGAACTTGGTCAAACAGGACAGAAAAATAGACGCAAGAACATGGACGAGGCAGAGGTCTGCATCGGCTGGAATTTTGTCTTGTCTGAGGGTGACGAGGAGGACAGCTTTGCACTACAAATTGTATCCCATCAGATGATGATTAGAGATCGAGTCCATTAGCATAAATACAAACTCATAACCACAAACTCATGAAGCAAGATCAAAAAAAAGTGAAAGACCAATAGAATCTTTATGGACACACTGGGAATTGAACCCAGCACCCCCCGCAACAACAGAACCTGCTAAGCGGATGTGATAACCAACTACACCATGTGCCCAATATTCCGTTAGTTTGGGGTTGCTGTGATGGCCTCCTTAGAACCAAGCTTTCTTCTTTTCATTCCACAAATATAGAGCATGTATAATCCCACCGATCCAAAAGACGAAGAAGGTGAGTAGGATGTTAATGAGGATATCCGAGACAGGCCGTTTCAATAAGAAGACAGCAACGGGGGGTAGGATAATCGCGCACTGTCATATGCAACAGAGTCAGAAGGCTGTCATGAACACTGAAATGATCGTGAAAACCAACGATGATGATCAGTATATCTTCGGATCGTATTGCCATGAAGGTGTCTGTTAAGGTCAGGCAGAGACTGCGATGGTGGATGTCTGCACAAAGGAAGTCGCGCTATATATATGGACAGATTCCATTGCGTCATGGAGCCCCCTCATGAAGACCAACTTATGGTTACAATGTGGTGGCGCAGTCAATGATGCCACAGTTATTAGCACTGCTGGATAAGTACTCATTGCAACCTGCATTGCGTATTGAGGCTAGCAATTTCAGACTACTCGCAGCATCATACACCGTAAGTGCTCCATTCGAGCACCAGTCATGCTCTCGCAGACCATGATCGCCAGAGTGCACATTGAGTAAGGCTGGCAAGGCCCCTTACGAGTCCTGTCTTTCAGCCCAAGAGTATCGTCAGCTCCCATCTGAAGATCTTGTTGAAAATGTAGTTACTCCTTGACATCGGCTGATTCCTCGAATCGCCATATTTCGAGAGCATCCTTGTCATGAGAAAATGCAAGATTGAGCATTAGGCACGATATACAAGTACTTTGCAAGGGATGGCGCTGATCGAAGCTCTGTCCTTTCAGAAATAATAAAGTGGGGGCAATAATCAAGTGTGCTGCTTCCTAGCCGCCCGTTTTTCCGCATCCTTGCACTTCCGACTCGCATCTTCAATTGCTTGGACCCATACTGAGTGAGATGAGAGCGAATTTATTGTTTTGAACAAATTCTCATATGGTCATGGAGCACGCACCTTGACAATCTCTAACAGAGATAGCTCGCAGACCGATAACCTCGCCACCGCGAGGATAAGGTAACACGACTTGGAAACCCAGATCATCTAGGGGCTCATTGAGGGAAATATCCATCAGCAACGAACATGCTACATACCTCGATTTCCCGGAAGATCCTTCACTTGGGTCTCTGACAATGCGATAGGCTATATGTTCCACCGATTGAGTAAGCGGTAGCTTTACGACAGCGACGCTATACGCACCATACGATATAGATTTCTGGCTTTGTCATCGGTGAGGACCAAAATATCACTGCATAAGAATGCGTGCAGTTTTCGTCCGCTTTTGGCTTTTGTCAAGGTCCCTTCCTTCAAGAGCTTCCGTGTACCCATATGTCTTGTCGGAGCTGTAAGATCCAGTCGTCTTAAGAGGAAGAAATTGAGTGATATTTCTAGAGCTAACGCCGCTTAAGCTCTGAATATGAATCCTCACCCTTGTCCAATCCATAAGTGTTGGGAAATCCGCTTAAGGGTCTCCTGTCCTTCCTGGTACCGAATCGTCTCGTTGATGTGGTTGAGAATCTTCTGAGCGATTTCTATTGAACGTTCAATGGAATCTTTCTCTTCGCCCGGTGAAGTGTAGTGGGATATCTGGAATACAGTTGGGCACCTTTGTAGGACAAGAGGCGAACTATAGACTCACTTGTCGAATGAGTAGAGGGTACCTTGTGATACGTTGCACTTGGGGAGATTGTGAGGATTGATTGTGCTGAACTATTCATCACTCACTTGGGATTAAAAGATAGCTCGATAGATCTAAGCTTCTTGAGGATGGGCCTTCACGGATGCGTTGGAGTTGAAGCGCTACTTCTGCATTTGAATCACGAATGTCTTGCAGAACCTTGATGGCATTTGCTTGATTGACACAATATTCCTATACTTGCGTGAGCCAAATGTAGTAGCCCGACTATGTCTTCCAGCTCTTACCATATAGACACCCATACTTGACATATAGTTCTGCAATACATCGCCAATACGGTCAATGTAGAGCCTACACTCTTTCTGCCTTTCTTCAAGCGAGCTCATGAATGTCTGTGATGCAAGAGTTCAGAAAATCGACCCGGAATTCGATGTTGGTTGCGTACAATGTTCGTCAATAAGATATCTTCGATATTAGCAAAAATGACAACGATTGCTTTTCTATCCAACAGGGGCAAGAGCTTGGAGTAGAACACCTCAAAACATGGAAAGAATGAGTTCAAGTATCAATCCAAATACAAAATTTTCACTCACCTCGACAACGAGTTGTAGATCGTGAACATAGGCATTTTCGGTAGCAATGAGCTCAAAAATGGCCTACAACATGTTTTCATTATTGGACTGCGATAGGAAAGATGCGAACACCCACTTCTTGTCGTTTTCTTTCGTTCGGAGGAATGCCCTCCAAAGCAGATTTATCTACCAGACTAGCCCAAGACTGAACACGGACACCTTCTGAATGACGAACGGGCGACACATGATAATATGACACTCACGCTCCCGAAAGCAGGGCTCGCAGAGCGCACAGAATCTTCACTTGAAGGATTACTTAGTATAGGAGCAGAAATAGTCAATGTACGTCGATCAGTATCGACAGGTGTTTTGGACCGTCCACTGAGAAAATGAAAAATCCCAGAGTGCGAACGTGCTTCTCCATCCTTAGAAGGCGCAGTTGACATCGTCACCGAAGTTGTTGGGGAAGAAAGGCTGGTATCGAAGGATGCAGTAGATAGACGATTATTATCTGCATTCGATCGCGCAAGGCGAAAAGCTTCGTATCTCTCGAAAGCGTCGTCTAGAGGAGTTGTGTCTTGGGTTTCGATATGAGGAGGAATTTCGGGAAGATCTTTCGAAGATATAGACGAAACGGATTGCCTTTGAGGGGCTACAGGCGGAGGTCGTCGTTTTCTTCTTGGAGGTCTGGGAGGTGGATTGACATCTTTTTTGACGATTAGACCAGCAGCTTCTAATACCATTTGACGTTCGTGGTCGCGGCGTGCTTCGCGTTGTTCATGTGTTTCTTCGCCATTCTCTTCCTCATCATCGCTGTCCTCAAATGAATGATAGTCAGTATCAGAACCTGAAGAATCACTAGCAGTATCATCATCGTGCTCGGCCCGCTCATTGATGTGAATTGGGCTTTCCACCGGAGGGTGAGAAGAGGGACTCCCCTCGATTGTGGTCACCGTCATCGTATTTGCTGGAGAATTCGCAGCGTTTCGTATTTGTGCAGCAGCGTCTGAAGATTTAGTTCAAAGTTCCATTCCGATTATTTTTGAAGGTGGTACATAAAGAAAAAAACCAGAAAAAAAGCAGCTTCAGCCTGTTATTCACACGACAATGGGGTAAACAGAAACACATAAGGGATGTAATCATTTGGACTAACCCTGAATAACTTCTAAATAACCCGCGGGTACAATGAATACCACTCCACCCTGTTCGGCTTTCCACCATTCTGCCTCGCTTTGGTCAATGACAATGACTTCGTCTCCTTCAGCCATTGATAACTCATCAGGATTTTCGCCAGAATATGTGTAGAGCGCCTTGGCTTTAACTGTTAGAGTTATGTGAGATTAAATTGAAGGAATAGAACACTAAGAGGACCAACCTTTTGTGACTTCTTGCACATAGGTCTTCGGGAATAAACCGGACTTGCCAGTACAGTCCAGGGTACCATACCACCAGTCCCCGCCCGTCTTCGATGGGTGTGCAGTGAGCATTAGATTCTCCCCGAAGCCTGTTACGACGTGAGTAATGAGCAAATAGACCACGGTTAAACTCACTCAGATCGTCGGGACCATCGCCTTCAAAAGGATAGAGTGACCTGACGGACAAAGCTGAGAGTTCCAGTTAGGTCACAGTCCAAGGAACATATAGAAAGACCACTCACTGATTGACTTGTCAATATCAGCCATGAGATCATTGACTGGGTCAGCAACATCAACTTGTATATCTGGGATTGGCACATGTGGCTGCTCTGGCTCAGTTTCAGTATCTTCACTGATCGTCGTGGGCACCACAGGAGGAGTGAATTTCCCAGCATCCGCCGCTAATCCAGCATACCAGTCCACCGACTGTCGATTATCCTTTGCGCTCATTGCAGGAACCTCTACAGGTGCTACTGGCGGAGGTGCTGGCGGCGACGGAGGTCGAACCGCAGTAGTGATGTGGTCCGGAGGCGCAGTATCACCCAAAACTTTTCCAGATAGTTGAGGCCCACTCTTATCTACAGTCTTCGTAGGTCGCAATCGGAGTCCACCTTGGATAGAACTGAGAAGTGCACTTCGATCGCCAGGTCCGGCAGATGATGAGCCGCCTGCCATGGGGGGCGGCGGTGGAGCATTGGGTGCCATAGGCGGAGCAGGTGGTGGCGGCGGCGGTACACCCATCGGTGGGGCTGGAGGTGCAGGAGACTGAGTTTTAGGAGAAAAGTTTGCGCCAGGGGCAGGCGAGCTCGGACTAGACCCAGCACCGGACTGAGGACGGGGCAAGAGATTACCGAACAGCTTGTTCGCTATATCGTTTCGGACTGCCCTGGAGGACGAAATCTCGTCATCGCTGCTATCATCATCGTCCTCCTTCTCTTTGACCATATCCCAATCATCCTCGTCATCTTGAGGGGCAGTGTGATATGATTTAGGACCAGATGAGACAGGCGTAGGGATACTTGGTGTCCTGGTCGCAGGAGGAGGGGTCGGAGCCGCTGGAGCAGTTGGCGGGGTGGGTTTAGCCCAAGGATTTGTACTTGCGACTGCAGCAGGTGGAGACGTGACAGCTCCTGCGCCTTGGTTCATGAGGCGACTGAAAGGATTAGTGCTGGATTTGTCAGGCGTGGCTACAGGTGGCGCTGGTGCAACTGGTGGAGGTGGAGGTGGCGCAGGCGTAGGCATAGAGGGAGTCGGAGCAACGGGAGAAGGAACACTGGTGACAGTAGCCGAAGGTGGTGCCGGGGACACAGAAGAACGTTCCCTCAACGCCTTCAACCTTGC